GAAAGCTCTGCTCTTGTCTGCAGCTGATCGGTGCACAACAGTTTCGGCACCCATCAAGCAGAAAGCTTGCTCAACTGTATTGTCAATTAGAATTATTGTGTAAGCTGAACCAATTGAGATGTCTGTGGTGCTGGCTATTGTTTCTGCTGTTAATCACTGGTCCTTTTCAATTAAGGCACAAACAAGATTATTAATTTTTTCCATGCAAATTGATGTGGATGGTTATTGCTGAGGGCTTCATCTTCAACATTGTCTCATCACTTCTTAAAATGAGTCCCTTTGTAAACTGCTGATTTCTTTGGGTCATTGTCCCCAGAAACTTCCCATAAAGCATCAGTTATTTCACTGTTCTTCCACCCAAGCTTGACAATAAATTTGCTGTTTGTTCTTCCTTTAATTTTAGCAGTATTCATGTTGCTTTGATAGAGGCGCCTTTCAAACTGATGTCTTATCCTTAGGGTCTCAAACTAGATCCTGTTTAGACATGTCATAACTAGTTAGTATGAGTTTATTTTGATTCAAAAAAAATTTTGCAATCCATGCGTAGTTTTTTCATAATATGCACTTTCTATGAACTTTTTGAAGACCCTTCGTGTACTCTACAGTGCATTCTGATGTTTATAAATGCCTTGATTAAATAATTTTCAATTCAATGAAAGCCTCAGTAATTGTCTTTATTATAATTTATTATAGTGTTAGAGTAATATTATTATAATTAGCACTTGAGCATGACTTGTGCCTTTTCCTTCTAGGCTAATAATTTGGCTACACTTTTAGGAAGTGATTGAGAACTCACTTGTGAACTCACCCCCTGCAAAGATTCCTGCTTAGCTAAGAGAAGAGGCTTAATTTCTAGGATTCTCTGAATTTGAACTGATGTTGCCTTGTCACTAGTTTCATGACTTCAGGCAGGTTATTTACCATCTCTGGCTCTTGTTTTTTCTCATTTCCATAGTAAGGAGCTCTTTCAGTTCAAGCATTCTGGCAATGCATTTTAGTCCCCCTTCAAAGTCATTATTGCATCAGATAAAAATGACACAGCTCATATTCTCAGTGTTTAGATTTATTTTGCCCTAAGAATTAAATGTTTCATGCACCGTCTCCCCTCAGCAAGATTTTTATACCATATCTGTATTGTACTTTATTATTTTTTGGAATTTTAAGTATTCTTAACTCTGACATTTTTCATGTTTTAATGTAACAGCAGTAGTTCTTTCTCTAAGATGTTTGGCCATATTGTTAGGAAATCAACTTTATCAAAATTTCCAACTTATAAAAATTAGAACAGTAAGTACATTTTCAAATGTATATGCACAAATACCAAATTACGGTACAAAGTACATACATAACATACCTACAAGCCAGTATTTTTGTTAAATAAATTCCTAGCTAAATGAATAAGAACTTGAGAAGCTATTTATTTTCAACCCATTGTTCTTAAACAGAATTGTATTCCTACATATGAGGCATTATTTATCTTAGCCACTATTGAGGATGTGGATACTGTCCCATAGTATAAAGTGGATTTTTCATTTATAGCTATTCAAACTTGCCCAGAGGCCGAAAATGTGTTCTTGGTGTGGAGTGATTATAGGAGTGAAATGCCCACATTTCATCCTTTTCCTGAATAACCCACCTTATTAGCTGCTGAACTAAGAAGCATAAAGCATCAGAATATGTTTTGTCTTCCTTAAAAATAACTACCCTTAGCAACACAATACTTACTAATAGAATAAAATGTATGGGGGGGCGTGTATTCATAGTCTAAAACTCAGAAGCCATAAAGGTTATACTCGATGAAAATTTTAAGTTTCTTACCCAAATTTTCTAAATATATGTAAAGAATGTGATCAACAAGCTAGCAGAAAAAAATAGGCAACAGATATTCACAGAAAAGTACATAACAATAGCTTACTAAAATAATAAAAATCAACTCACAGTAAAGTGAATTTAAAAATAAGATTATAATGACTTTGTTTTCAACTCAGGATTATAAAGATCAAAAATATAAGATGCTGCATGGGAAAAAGGCATAGAGAAACATACTTTCATATATTGCTAATGGAAATGTAATTTGGTAGATCTCACTTATATATGGAATATAAAAAAGTCGAACTCCTGGTTGTAGAAGTAGAGAGTAGAATGGTGGTTACCAGAGGCTTGGTTGGGGTGGGAGAGTGGGGCAGGGTAGCGGGGGAGAGGGGAGACATTGGTCAATCGATGGTTACAAAGTTACAGTTAGATAGGAAGAATCAGTGTTGGTGTTCTATAGCACAGCAAAATGACTACACTTAATAATACATATTTCAAAATAGCTAAAAGAGAGGATTTTAAATGTTCTCACCACAAAGAAATGATAAATATTTGAGGTGATGGATATGCTGATTGCTCTGATTTGATCATTCTACAGTGTATACATGTATCAGAATATCACGTTGTACTCCATAGATACAATTATTATTTGTCAGTTAAAAATAAAACTAAAAGTAATTATATCTTAGAGTTCTATACCAATATTTATATGTTTGCAAATATATATTATTTTTCATTTGCTGATAGCATTAACTGTTGTTTTTCTTTAAAATAAGAATTGCAAAGAGTTACAGAATCGAAAGTGTGTTATCCATAATTCTACATAACTACTCAATGCTATATACTTACATACGTTCTGGACTCAAGCTTTTATGTTCTTTTTTGAACTCACTCTTGCTATGTATGGCTGCTCAGCTCCGGTTTGACAACTACAAAGTGAGTGGCACCCTAGATTTATACAACACAATGCCAATTTTCAAATCAAGTCCACTTCTTCTTAACCTTGTATTCTCCCCAGAAAAGTCCACCACAAAGGTTGCAACATAAAAAAAGTTACAGGGAAAAACTTATATAACAGTAGGGCCATGCTTCCTTGGAAATCTCTGGAGAAGAATTATTTTTTGCCTTTTCAGCTTCTTTTACCCCCTACGCCTTCCTTGGCTTGTGACAGGATAACTCCAATCTTTGCTTTAGCCTTAAGATGGTCTTTTTCCCGCTACGTGTCTTTGTGCCCCTGATCTAAATGTTCTTTTTTAAATAAGTACACCAGTCATATTTTATATAGGGCTCATTCTGATCCACTATGATCTCATCTTAATCTCATCTGCAAAGACTTTGTTTCCAAGTATGATCAAATTCTTAGTTTCCAGGTCAACACGGGTTTTGGAAGGACACGAGGTAATTAGATGGCAGGGGGGTCTGGCACAAGACTTGCACCAGGTATAATTTAATTAAGTTACTGTTTGAGTGACATTACCTAGATAAGTCCTCCAAACAGAATAAATTTCAGACTGCCATCATCTTGCTTTTATTTAGGTATTCATATGTTTTTATTATTGGGAAACTGGAGGTGGGGAAACTTACACTGGACTATTAACAATGGAGGGTAAATTTAGAATAAAAACATTTGATGCTGGTAGCTCTCCTTTCACACACTAGTGAAATTTATTCACTTGCTTTATTAATTTATTGAGGGCTGGCTAGTCAGCTCAGTTGGTTAGAGTGTAGCCTTTTACCCCAAGGTCACAGGTTTGGATCCCTGTACTGGCCAGCCACCAAAAAAAAATGTTTACTGAGTGCCTACTATTACCAGTCATTATTCTAGGCATTGAATCTACAGCAATAAGGTAAACAAAGTCTCTGCCTCATAGAATGAAAATGTCTGAACAGGCATGCAGTGCTAAGTGATGTGAAGTAAATAAAGAGTAATGAAAAGCATTGTGCTTGTTGAGATGACATTTGCGCAGAGACCTAAGTATAGTGAGAGGATCAGCCATGTACATATTTGAGAGTAGAGCATTCCAGGTAGAGAAGAGCTTGCAATGGAATGGCCTAAGTGTCAGAAAACAAAAAAGCTTGAAGAAGAACAGATATGGAAATAACATGATCTAATCACATTTTTAAACGTCACTGTGATTGCTATATGGAAAGTTGTGAGAGAAGAAGATACAAAGGAGAGTGACCAGGTATGAGTTTATTATATTAGTCCGGGTGAGAGGTATTGTTGACTTGGTTAAAGGTAATTAAAGTAGAAATAGTTAGAAGTGACTGGCTATGAATATAGTTTGCAGACGGAACTACATTTGTTGGGCGATTTATTATGAGATGTATGGGAAAGAGAAATATAGTGGAAGAATCCTTAGAGTTTTAGCCTGAGCAAGAAAGGAAATTACATGCAATAAGATGGGAAGGACTATAGGAGAAGCAGGTTTGAGAGGAAAATCAAAGAATTCTGTTTTGTTATTTCAAATAGATGTCACGTAGGTAGTTAGATATGAGTCGAGAGCTCAAGTTGCAGCTGGAGATAGAAATTTGTAAGTTGTCAGTCTGCATATGGTATTTAAAGGAATTAGCTTGTATAATGCATTTTCTGAATTTATAAGTACATTAAATTTATATATAATCTTTTCCCATTTAGTGATCATATATTTATAAAATGTAGGCTATAACCCAGGCGCACGGTATTAAGTCCTGAAAATACAGATGTATTGGTAGACATTCAAAATATAAATAGATAGCATTAAATAGTATCTAGGTCTCCATTAAATGGGACTTCAAATATTACAGTAGGAATAAATTGTATCACCCAGCTTTGCACTAATATATTGATTCTTTCATGTTAATTTTGTCTTCATAATTAAATTGTTTACACTCTTTGAACACAGAAGCTGTGTTACTTTTTTAAAAAATATCACACATGATGGCTAGCACAGTTCTGGAAATGTATTAAGTGTCCAAAGAATATTTATTAATTGGTTACATTATTATTTTAATTGTTCAAAGGCAGGAATATTTTTGTCAGCATTATAATTATCTTTTGCATGGATATACAGATAATTTATGCAATGAAAATTTAGCAAATTCTGTTTCCTAAGTCTAATTTTAAAAGACTCTGATAGATTTTATTTTATTCACTTCCAATAGTGCCAAGTTATTTTTATTCCCATAAATCTTTTTTTAATTTGTAGCCAGATTCTACTGCAACTGAAAGAGCAATTGCCAGACTAGCAGTACACCCTCTTCTGAAGAAAAAAATAGATGTACTAAAAGGTATGAGTCAAATGACTTTTAAGCCATCTACTTAATGCATTTGTGTATATGATTTTGGATAAATGTTCATTTATTTTAAGTATCTTTATGGTTCTTTTACTTCCTGAAGATCTTTTATGTTATAAATATAAATTTTTTTCAAATATTTAGAAATGTGAGAAAGTGCCTGAAAATATGGAAAGTGTCTGATATATGAAGAAAAAATAAATTTGTATTTTTTCCTAAATTCTAATATATTAATACAAATTACATGTAATCTAAAATATATATTTTTCTATATAACATATACATGATAAAGTTAAATACAGTTGTTTTTCTAAATATTGGTATAACATTATTTTTGGTTTTGCCAGTTGGTCATGTATTTTCATTTATGATGTGTACTATAAAATATATTTATAGAATTAAATGCTTTTGTCACAGATTAAGTAATATTTATTTTTATTTCCAAAAACACAATATTCAATGTATTAATACTACAGAAAATAAAGTTGCCATTTATTTATATGTATTCAGTGATTTTTTACTGTTCTTCATAATCCCAAAATGTGAAGAAAGGATAATTTTCTTTTCATTTTAGCAATTTGAAATACATCTGAGCATGTCTTTATAAGTTTAGTTTTTAAGAAGTCTAAAGATTTCTTCCTGGGCCGGCCCGTGGCTCACTCGGTAGAGTGCGGTGCTGATAACACCAAGGCCGCGGGTTCGGATCCTATATAGGGATGGCCGGGTCGCTCACTGGCTGAGCGTGGTGCTGACAACACCAGGCCAAGGGTTGAGATCCCCTTACCGGTCATCTTTAAAAAAAAAAAAAAAAAAGAGTTCTTCCTGAATTCAGACCCATTGTACATATTTAATGTAAATTCCAATTTTCTTCTTCAATGTTTCCAAGTAATTTAAGAAATGCTGTACTGAAACAGTGATGTTAATATGTTTCAATGCTAAAACAAGTCATGCACTGTTTTTCTTGAAGCTGCTGTCCAAGTCTTTAAAGACGCAAGACAAAATGTTGCTGAAGTTGAATCATCAAAGAATGCTTCAGAAGAAAATCATTCTAAGGACACTTTGTCTTCAAATGACGATACAAGTAAGTTACAGCATGAAGGAACTATTATCAGTGGCCAAAAAGTGAAAGAAGCCAAAATACTGGCAAAGAAACCGATAAATAATTCAAAGAACAAAGTAACCAAGATGGAACATGGGCCCAAAGCAGTAGACATTCCAAATTCTTCATTAAAGCCTTCAGAAAAGGATTCTGTGGGTCTCTCTTCACTCCAGAGAACTCCTGCTGACCCCAAAATTAAAACATTAAGTCAAATCCAAAAAAAGAAAGTGTCTAATAGTTCGCTTGGTGATGACAGTGATGGCGAAAAAGAATTACATGAAGAGGAAAAGGAGTATTTTGATGATAGCACAGAAGAAAGGTTTTACAAACAGTCTTCCATGTCTGAGGATAGTGATAGTGGTGACGACTTCTTCATTGGGAAAGTCAGAAGGACACGGAAGAAGGAAAGTAGTTGCCATTCTTCAGTTGGGGAACAAAGACCCCTCCAAAAAGTGATACCCAAAGAAGATACACATGAAACTCACTGGGATGTAAGAAGTGACAAAAACAAGCCAAGTACAGAAGCCAGGAAATTAGAATCAGTGTTTTTCCCCTCTTTATCTGGATCTAAAAGCTTGAGAAGGTAAGGATATTTTTTTTATTCTAAAATGAGTATTATTTCTTAATTTTTTTGAAAGATATGAAATATCTACACATCCTGACGGTGAGGGAGGAGACTGTCTCCTATACACAGTTCTAGTTTGTACAGCTTGTTCTATTTTTAGACATGGCCCTCTCCAACTTTATAGTGTGATCATATATACAAATATACATATGGCAGTGCCTCTTCAGAAAATGAGATGTTATCACCAAATAATATGCCTAGCTAATTTAAGATTTATTCCTTCAGTTATCAAAGTTTTTAAAGTTATCAAAGTTAGTTTTTGATAAAAAAAAAACTTTTGAAAATGTTTTAAAACAGAACTTTTTGAAAATAATATGGTGTTTTTTCTTGATGACCCAGGATCATTATTTTAAACATCAATCATTTTACTGTGTAATCTTGTTTCAGTATATAAGGCTGCTTGCCCTAACAATGAGTTTCTCTGGACTGTTTTATATTTGGTGATATCACTCCATCCCTGCTGTTAACCACCACTTTTCACAGCTCTTCCGTTATAAATCAATAAGTTTAATTTCATTTGTAATACTAATTTGATAGAGGATCTTTTCACATTTCAGAGTAAAGGTCATGGTTAGCTAATTTCTTTAGTAACAGTGGTGTTCTTCAGTAAACCAGTTTTCTCTATATTTATAGGTCAGGGATATTCTTTAATGGAATAGAAAAATGGGATGTAGAAATTTTCCAAAGAAGTTAGAGTATGGAAAAGACATAAAAATCTTTGAAGCCTTGAAAATAATTAAAATGTTTATATCTCCTAAACCTGCCTCAAAAGACTATATTTTTTCCTTGTTTCACTACTATTTCTTCCCCTCCAACAAAATGTAAATATTAATTTTTTTTATATGTGACTCATTCTCCCTGTGAGAAGACTTTTGAAATTCTTTATATAGATAGTCCCCAAGAACAGAAACAAGGTAAGCAAGATAGGGTATTTTTCAGTTATGAACAGAAATACTTGGCCAAGGGTGGTGAGAGGAAAAGTCCCTCACATCTGTAGTAATACTGGAGTCTAACAAACTTTTGGTGTAGCTAAAACCTGGGGTTTTCGTAATGATTTTATTGATTGCTGGTAGGATGAGGGGATATAATATAGTCCTTTGAATGAGTTGTATCATCAGTTTTATTATGTTATCTTCTTAAGATCAGAGGATTTATCTTTTAAAAATCATCATGGTATTTTTCTTCTTTTAGAGATTACAGAGAACAGGCTCCAAAAAGCAAAACCCTAGGTATGTATTTTTTTTTTCTATATCACCTTTTACGACCTAACCTAGGTGTGTATTCATGGCTGCCTGACCTCCATATGCAATTGAGCAATGCTTTGCCAAAGTGGAAGCATGAAAAGTTATGGTTGCCTGATATCCTGAATAAATTATGTACCCACAGAAATGGAAACGGAGCATCTTATAACTATCAATATAATTTTTTATTTTTATTGTTTTTTTCCTGTGTCCTGCCAGTGGGAAGAATATAGACAAAGTTTATTAGTAAAAATTATTTTTATTTAACTTAAATCAACATTTTTTTAAGTAAATTATTATATAAATTATATCTTAGTCACTGAGTGCCATGCCATTAAGCATTCAGTAGCAAGTATATTACTTTCTGGGTTAAGAGTAAAATCAGAATATTTTCAGATTAATTTATAACAAATCAAAGTTTAATATATTTGGGTAGGCTGACTTCTTACACAGTCCTAGACTTTCACTGTTTTAACATAATAAAAATTTATTTCTCACACACATCAGAGCCCACTGTAAATCAGCAAAGGGGCTCTGACCCATGTAGTTATTCAGGGACCAGGCTGCTTCCAACTTTTGGCTCCTTCCTCCTCCAGGTCCCAAATATTCTCCATTTGCCAATAGAGGGGAATGGAGTACATGGAGAATTTTGCAGGATGCTTTCATGAGCCAGGTCTAAAAGTGGCGGAAGTCAGTTCTGCTCACATTTTATTGGCCAGAATTCAATCTTATGACCCCATGTAGCCACAAAGGAGCTAAGAAATGCATCTTAACTCTGTGTCTAGGAGGAAAAAAAGAAGTGGAATTTCTTGAACACCTAACTTTTTCTGCCACTGACCATTCTTTCTATAACCAGAAGCCCATTTCAAATTTCCTACTACACATACAGCATACTTACCTCCTTCCCAAGGAAGCCAACCCAGAGTCACATCCAGTCACTGCATCCAGCTCAAAGTCCAAGATCACTGGGTGATGATATAGTGCTTTCTGTCAGATCTCATGGATGGGAATCCTCAAAGTCTGATGACCTTTGTACGAAAAAGGAAGCTGTCTGCCCCCAATTCATATCAAGTATATAGTAGCAGAGCAGGAACATGGTAACCCAGTGAAAACTTTTATTCAGGTTAAGAGGAAAATGAAGGCACACAACAGGTCTACCTCCCAAGATTCTGCTGAGCAAGGATTATGAAGTCTCTGAGAGGAGCTTTCTCATCATTGTTCTCTGTGGTCCCCTGCTACCTTCTTGGGAGAGTCTTTGTTCTCTGGCCACATCTGAAGTGGGTATTTAGTATGATCTCTTTGGAGTTTGCCCCAAGTTGTTGGTACGATATAAGGTCCTGAAGATTGTTCAAAGTCTAATGGTCAGAGGTTTTTTCCAGTCCCAGGCTTGTGATTTCTTTCACTGTACGCTTTCTCAAAAATTTAGTGGATTTCTGACCTCGTTGTTTCCGTCATGTTCATCCATGAGCTAGTAATCAAACTGACAATTCTTTCCTAGAGCTAGTTCTCAAACTTGGCATATTTATGTTTGTTTGTGTTGTGTTTTGTTTTTGTTTTGTTTTTTCCACCCCCACCCTCATTCACTTTCGGCTGCATTGAGATTGTTAGGTTTGGGTGGGAAGGCCTTACTTTTAATCTTATCTCTGCCCCAAGGCTGAGTCTCTGTGGGCTTATATTGCTTAAAATATTTCTCAGTCTTATTGCTTACTGTTTGGAGGCTTTGCTAAACCTTAAGTTCCCAAATATCTAGATTCTTCCTCTTCCCTTAGAACAGTGAGCTGGTCAATTATTTCCTGAACTTTTCTCATCTTTCTAGTACATTGCCAAAGACAGCCAACAGTATAATTTTTATTTTTTATAACCACTTATCCTGTACTGCAAACTCCATATGCATTTGGTCTGCTTTCCAAGTTATCACTGACAGTAGTTTTACTTATTTATTTAGCACATGGGTTGCTCACCCCCCATTCTCAGTTATTCATTTTCTTACCACTTACAGCCAAACTGCTAAGCCAGTGCCAAATTTTTATGTCATTGTAATGGTTGTAACCTACTTCAGAGTACCAATTTCAGTATTATTCATAGTAGACTACCTGCTGTAATGAATAACTACCAGATCTTAGTGGTTTATTCCTCATTCATCAGTCTGTCTCCTTGTAGTCTCAGTCCATCTTGTGCCTCTGCCCTACACTAGAGCCTAGGGGTTCTCTTCATTCATTAGGAATAGAAAGAGAAATAATGCTGGACTGAATGTGATGTTTTTGTGGTCCAGGCTTTTTGCTCACATTTCATTGACGATGACTCAGTTATATGGCCTCATCTGACTGCAGCAGGAATGAAAAATGTGTTCTGGTTGTGTGCCTAGAAGAAAAGAAAACAGGGTTTGGCAAAAAACATGGTAATATGCCTCATTTACCATATATTCACAAACATAGAATAACTAAATATGAGGTACTCATATTTTCCCAATGAGGAAACCCAAGTAAAAGGGTAATTTTTTGCTTAGCTTGTATATTTAAAATATTTACCAATTTATTTACATATACAACTTGATATAAATACTACATTAGTTTAGAAATACTGCCGTATTCAAAACTCAGTTTTCATGAAAGTTTCACTTAAACTCTCCATCACTAGAACCACTCTTTGCATATTATAACAGATTTCTAAAGTGCATGTGATTTCTGTGATATATGGAACATTTTGATTTCTGTCTATATGGTGTTTTGGAAATGTTATCCCCTGTGTGTACTTGCTGGTATAACGTGACATTTGCTTTTTAAAAAGGTCTGTAAAAGGCTTTTAACAATGATATCTAACTCACAGTGGAGAAATTATATACCCCTAGGACTGATTAATAAGTGTATATTACATTTTTTGCCTCCCTTTTTCTTTCTGTTTCCATGAACTAAAGCTCTGTAAACATCCCAAATGTGCATTGATTTATGTCTTTTCACAGTAGTTTGTCTTTCCCAAACAGTTCTTGTTCAAAATTATATAATTAAAGAACCTCATAATGTAAAATACCGTAAGGACTAGAATACAAGTTGCCACCACCACGTTCATATCTGGAGGATAGTATTATGACTGAAAAAGGACTTTATCTTATATTGAGTAGACCTAGTAATTTGCCTCATAATAACAATTTTTGGTTCAATAACAGAAGGAAGTAGAATCAATTAATAGCCCTTTAAAAATAAATAAATCCCATCAGCATTGTCAGACATAGTGTCTTTATTAAGACATGATTTTTTGTCTACATCTGTTTCATATACAGATACCATAAACTAATGATGTTCCTTTGAAAATACAAGATGCCCCCTTTTTTTTTTTTTGGACATTCATGTTAGCTAGACTGTGATTTCTTTATGTCATTATAAATGAGACAGCACAGCCTATGTTAGGAGGTACTCAATAAACATGTATTTACTGCTGAGTTAGAGGGTAAGAAAGTATGTGTCCAAAACTGACTATTCATATGTGAATTTTTCAAGTTCAGACTGTTCCCTGTTATGCTTTAATTTTAAATTGTGAAGTGTTCCATTTAAGGAAAACAATTTCTTCCTTTAATATCTGTTTGAAGAAGATGAAATCTATCTCTTTTGTATATACTATTTAAATATATAGTTAATTTTTATTATTTTTGCTTTCTCTTCCCAGATTTTTCACAAAACATATCTCAGATCAAGGATCAATTTAATAAGAGTGCACAAAGAGGACTTGAAAATACAAAACATCAGTTGCAGCTGCCTCTTCACCCTTCATGGGAAGCGAGTAAGAGGCGAAAAGAACAGCAGTCTAAAATTGCTGTGTTTCAGGGGAAGAAAATTACATTTGATGATTGATCACTGCCTCTTTTTGTGAACTTTTCTATCTAAGAATTATTTTCCCAACTTGTATTTGAATAAGTCTGTTTGGAGGGGTTATAGAATGTTTGTTTTTGTCTTTTTCTTTTTTAAGTGATTTAGAGTTATGTTTACGTAAACCTTTCACAAATCAAATATGTACTTAAATTGATTTTTTGTATTTTGCTGCAGACTATTTCCTCTATAATAAAATTTGGGGATTATAGTGACTTCAGATTTTTCTCATTTGTTCTTATCGTGAATTATATTTCACTGGTTCAGCTCTGTTTTTGTCTTGAAAATAGATGTCGAGATATATTTAAAATAATAATGGAAAATATAAGGAAACTTTAGCTATTTAAAATAGATCACCTTTGTTAAAAGTTATTCTTAGCAAAACTAAAATAGCAACTTTTATTATGGGTGTACAGATAATGAATTATTATAAGTATTAATTTTTATTATGGTCTTATTTGTGATCATGCACTTTTTGATTGTTCGAAAATCCTCTTTCAAGACAATTTTGGGTTTCTTAATTGTATTTCATTTAGGCAAATTTTTTTTTTTTTTGTCTTTTTCGTGACCGGTAAGGGGATCGCAACCCTTGGTGTGATGTCGCCCGCACCACGCTCAGCCAGTGAGTGCACCGGCCATTCCTATTTAGGATCCGAACCCGTGGCAGGAGCGTCGCTGTGCTCCCAGCGCCCCCAGTGCCGCACTCTCCCGAGTGCGCCATGGGGCCGGCCCTAGGCAAATATTTTAAACATAGCAACACCCCCCCAAATCAGTTTTATATTATACTACATATAAATATTTTCATTAAATCAAAAATGTATAATATCTAGTTATTTGACCATGTACTCTTACAAAAACATTCATGGAGGAATTATAGATTATAATTAACAAGAACAAATTCTGAAGGAGGTAGGATGGAAAGAGCACTTCCATGGGACTGAGCAGAGAGGTTATGAGATGACTCACTGAAGAAGGGCCTACTTTGTAAGTCACAGTACTGTTATTTAAAAGGAAAATAGGATTTTAAAAATCCTAAATTGTTGCAAATGTTTCACTTTTTGCTACTGTAGGAGAAATTAAAGGTTTTTGGTTAACTAAATTCCATGTTTCCTACACATTAGTGCTGTTAATGGCAGAGAAGGCCATCTGGTTAGCCTAAATTCACAAGCTCTGAAGAGTCATTTCTGTCTAAGAGCTTAAGAATTTAGATAACTAGAACAGTGAAATTCAAAAGATTATGCAGGAAGAATGTTATTTTTTGCTGTGTTGAATGCAAAATTTGTTTTTTGTAGTTTTTTCATTTAAATTTTTATTTTGACATAATTTCAGACTGACAAACTGAAAGAAAAATGTCTCTGTGCCTACCCAGAGTTTGCCAGACTGTGAGACTGGGGCCACTGTCCTCCAGACTGCCAGACCTGCCCAAGACTTCTTACCCCTACTGTAATGAGTTATGGTCCATCTAGAAAGTTAGAGGGAAGAGCTTTACATTTGTTGGCTGCAAGATTTTGTTATATGGGAAATACTGTTGGGCTTTGTTAGGGGATGCAGTTAAGTTACTTGGATTGGTCTTTTTGAGATCTGTGCTTTGTTACAATAGTTCTAGAACAGCCATTAGTTTAGGGTGGCAGTTCTCAACTTAGGACAGTTTTGTACCCCAGGGATCATTTGGCAACATCTGGAGATATTGTGGGTTGTCACGAGGAGGCAGTGGGGCACAGGCAGAGGGTGGGTAGTACATCTAGCGCATAAAGGTCAGAAATGCTGCTAAACTTTCGAGAGTACACACAAAAAAATGTAGTTTCCAGTCCAAAATGTTAACAATGCTGAGGTGAGAAACCCTGGTCTGGGGCTCATTTGGCCCTACTACTGAGGCATTACTGTTCTAAGAACTCTACCTGATAATTTGTCTATTAGGAAATCTTTCTCTTGTTTTTGGTAAGAACAAACCATACCTAGGCATATGTAAGCTGATAATCTTCCACTTAACTTGTTTCTAGTGGTTTTTTTGCTGGCCTTGGTAGATTCTCCATACACACATCGCACAGATCAATCTTCTACCAAAAACTTAATGGGAGCCTTCTACAGATCTCTGAAGCACTTTCTCACTTTGTATGCATCCACTTCCTCTCCAGTTTTTTGCCTCACAAATTCTAATCATATTGGCCTGCCTGAACTCCAAAAATCTGTCTCTCAAATTCAGTAAGTCCACTGAGTTCCTTTGGGGTTCCTTCTTCCTGCACTAATTTGGAAGCTCCTCAGGCAGTGTAGCACTCAACTCATTTGTTTTTCTTCTCTGGTATTACTATCCTGTGATGCCTATTTTCCATTGTCTGAAAACTGTTGTTTTGTATATCTTGTCCAGTTTTCTAGTTGTTTAAACTAGAAGGACAAAGTCAGTTCCTGTTATTCCATATTGGTCAGAAATAGAAATCCGTTTATTTTGATGCTTAAGTTGTGCTTAATTTGGCCAGTGGGAGCCCCCTCAACCTGTCTCTTATGTCATTTTGTCATATAAGTCTTTTTTTAATAGTAAGAAAACTGGTGAATGGGTTGTCCATTATATATTTACATATTTATTCAACCCTAGAATACACAGAATTTAGTTTCAGAATTGCTAAGTGGTGCCTCTGCAAAACAGAAGTCTACTAGCCAAAGTTCAATATTTGTTTAGAGTTTTGGTTTTTTTTCTTTTGCCTGAGAGCATATGGGATAATAATAGCTAAAATAGCAGAGTAAGGACATGTGAAAATTCTCTATAAAAGCAATAAGAAAACTGTCAGAATCAACATTTTCAGAACTCTGGAATTAACCAAAGGCTTGTAGCAATCCAAGGTGTATGTATTCAAGAAAAATGTCTGAATCTTGATAAGAACAGTGACTGTTGTGACCTTAACTTGCCCTATTTGCATGCTCTACTTCCCAGATCCATGGTAGCTTGAAAATCAACAAATCACAATCACAGTGCAAACCAGCAGCCTAGCAGCTATTGGAGGGGGCAGAGCAGTGATGGAGCTTCTTCAAGGACACATTCCCTGAGAATTGTTATAAAGATTTGACCTGTCTGGTGGTTCACTAGAAGACCCCACTTGCAAAGCAGTCTTTATTTGATCTGAGTTAGAGCTTGCCCTTTGCCATAAGCCTTTTCCCTGAGATCCCTTTTTGAAAACAATTAGAGATAATTGTTTATCATCAGGGCTACCTCAGGCAGTGAATAGCAGTTGGGGTAAACAATAAGTTAACTAAAAGGCTTAAAAGGAAATCTGGAGAATTTAATATTCATAGGTACTGGTATGGATTGAATTGTCCCCCGGGTTTTATGTATTAGAGGCTTAATCCCCACTGTGACAATGTTAAAAGGGTGGAAAATTCTATTATGATTATTGAAAGGTGGGGCCTCAAAGAGGTGATTAGATCCTGAGGACCATGCTCTAATGAATGGATTAATAATGGTGGTCATGGGCATGGTTATGAGGGCTTTAAAAGGATAGCACATGAGTGTCTCTCTCTCCTCTCCCCTCTCTCTCTCCTCTCTCTCTCCCTCTCTCCCCCCCCCCCTCTTTTAGAGGACCATGCTCTAATGAATGGATTAATAATGGTGGTCATGGGCATGGTTATGAGGGCTTTAAAAGGATAGCACATGAGTGTCTCTCTCTCCTCTCCCCTCTCTCTCTCCTCTCTCTCTCCCTCTCTCCCCCCCCCCTTTCCTTCTGTTATGTCACAGTATGATACCCTGTGTTGCTGTAAAGCCATCACCAAAGAAGGCCCTCACCAGATATGTTCCTTGGACTTTGGACTTCCCAGCCTCAGAAACTATAAGCAGTAAATTTCATTTGCTTATAAATTATCCAGTTCTAGGTATTTTGTTTTAAGCAACAGAAATGGACTAATACAGGTACTTTGGTAAGTTGTGACATATTTCTTGGAATCAAGGAAATCGCACATGCATAGGGCTTGTGTGCATGCTCAGTAAAGAGCTGAGAAGTCCCTTCAACTCACCTCTGGCTGAGCTTCAGGCACTTCACAAGCAACAGGTGAAAGCTAAGGGACAGTTACCAGCCTCCTGGCTAAGTGTTGAAGGTGTGACCCCAACACACAGAACTCCTCAGCAAAGAGTATTCCAGTCATTTAAGGAAATTTCTGTCCAGTTATTAACATACTACTAAGCTAAATAAGAGACTTCAATTTCCGTACACAACAAAGAATATGGACTTCACAAAAGTAGTTCAGAAAAGTCACTAAACAAACTGACAAAAAAAAAAACAGCAACAACAAACACTGGGTGGAGAGGATCTGATTTGCAGAGTTGCAACTTTATACTGAAATGTGCAGTTTTAAGCAAAAACTTGTGAGACATGCACAAAAACAAGAAAGAACAGCCCATGCACTGGGCAGGGGTGGTCAATAGAAACTCCCTGAGGAATCTGAGACTTCGGATTTACTCAAAAAAGACATTAAAGAAGCTATTTTAAACATGTTCAAAGATCCAAAGGAAACTGTCTAAAGAGCTAAAAAGAAGTCTGAGAATAATGTCTCACCAAATAGAGAATATCAATAATGAGATAGAAATTATAAAGAAGAGCCAAAGACAAATTCTGGAGTTGAAAAGTACAATTACTGAAATGAAAAATTCAATGAAAGATCTCAACAATAGATTTGAGCAGGCAGCAAAAAGATTTGGTGAATTTAAAGATAGATCAACTGAGATTATCCAGTTTGAAGAACAGAAAAAAAGAATTTTTTCTGTTCTTCACAAATACATGAATGTTCATAGTAACATTATTGATAGTAGCTAAAAAGAGGAAATACAGATATCCATTAACTGATGATGAATAAAGTGTGGTATATACATACAATGGAATATTATTCAGCCATAAAAAGGAATGAAGTATTGATATACACTACAATATGGATGAGCCTTGAAAACATCATGCTAACTGAAAGAAGCCAAACACAAAATGTGGTTTCCACTTACATGAAATGTCCAGAATAGGTAAATCTGTAGAGACTGAATGTAGATTAGTGATGGCTAGGAGCTGGGGGAGGGAGGGATAGCGAATGTCTGCTAATGGGTCTGGCATTCCTTTTTGGAAAGATGAATGTGTTCTGGAATTGGATAATAGTGTTGGTTATACAATCTTGTGAAAACTACAGGAGCCACTGAATTGTGCACTTTAAAAGGGTGAATATTATGGTATGTGAATTACATCTCAATTTA